CCCTCCTCAATCTCCGACCAGGGATCGTTCCAATGATGAGGTGAGCGAGGTCGTTCGCGAGTGCGTGGGGGCCGTCCGAGAGGAATGACAGCGCAGGGTGGTGCGTCTCCGCGTTCTGCTTGCATCTCTCGTTCAGCTTCCTCCAATTCTTCTTGCGTGAGCTCCCCTTCCTCGGGTTCTGCTGTGCCCCAACCTCCCGTGGTGACGGTGCCGCTGGCGCTGGCTCCCCATGCTCCAGTGGCGGATGCCCAGGTTGCGCCGTGTTCTGGGTTGGTATCCTCGTCGCCCCATCCTCCGTATGCTGATTGATCGTCCCATCCTGCCGCGATGCGCTCCTCATACATCTTTTGCTTCTATTCCGCTCATGCCTTGTCTCGTTCTTCCTGAAAACTCAGCTCCTCTGGTGCGTCAGGGTCTTTCCAAGTTGGATCAATCTCGTGACGGTAGTATTCGCGGGTGTATGGGCACGGTTCTCCGTCTTTGTCGAGGGTGGTGGTGTTGGCTTCTAGAATGAAGCGGAGGGTGTCCGAATAGGGCCTTGGTCTGTCCACCCGCTGCTGCCCGAATTTCATATTTGGCTCACCGAAGATGCGGTGAGATGACACGGCGAGCTCTTCACGTATCATGCCAGTGGGTTTTGCCTCCTGTATTGCTGCGTACTCCCGTTCGACTTGCTCTGTGCGGCTAGCCGTGGGTGTGTGGCATGTTGTACACAACCCGTTGATGTCTGGCTCATGCAGATTGATCTCGCGGGGATGAGGACTGCGTCGAATCCATGGTCGACCGTCCAGATGCTCCCATGATTCTTTGTTCATGAAGGCGAACTCGAGGGGAACAAGGTCCACGAGCTCGTCTGACGACGCTTGGCAGGAGGGTACGTCGAAGTCCAGGATGTAAATCCCGTTGATTGAATGGGCTCAACCGAGGTATTTGAACGACACGGGAGGTGTGTTTGGGGGAGCGTAGGTGAGGATGAGGTCGCGCGTGGCAAGATCCGTGTGTATTATGACGCCACAATCGCGGATTTATCCGGCCGAGAGCATATTGAAGCGTAAATTCGGGACGTAGAGCACGTCGTTGAATGAGATGTGTGTGTTGCTGTCTCGTGCTTGCAGGACCACGATCCCTTGCGCATTGGCGCGGAGTTGCTCGTTGTTGGCGACGAAAGTGACGTAGGTTGCGGGGGCGCGGCTCAGATTCGAGACGTAGCGCGTGGACCCCACCATGTGCTGTTCGCAGCAGCTGTCCAGGTACTAGGTGTTGTAGTTGTCTGTGTTGTTCCGGCGCAGGAGTAGCGCCACTCGCGGAGTCACCAGGGTTGCCTTGTAGCGCCTGTGGAAGGAAGGATCTTCGTCCTCTTTCCATCCCACTGGTACGTAGCGCTGATTGTCGTGTGGCGGGCTCTCCCGCAGTATGATTGGCTGATTCCAATCCTGCTCGTCCTCGTCATACAGGTAATAGTGATCTTCAATAAGGGGATTGTTCCATCCCTCTTCTGGTTCCAGAAGTCTTCCTTGGACTTCGTTTGCTTCGTCAGTCTCAGAGGTGCGGCGGCGGCGCGTCGCCATGTTCGCAATGACGATCCAGGGAGCTCCGGACTGAGGTCCTTGAGATTGCTGGTGTTGATGCTGTGCAGGGGAACGAGCTTGTTGGTGTTGAGGTTGAGAATGACGAGCGTCTTGTCGGCCGACCCAGTTGTTGTGGTGAGTGGAATTTGGGTGGCGGAAGTTGGATCGGGACTTGCATCGATCCGTTGAGTGTCCGAAGACTTTGCATATTTTGCAATAGTGGCGCCTTGGCTGTCGTCGCTCTTCTCGGTTGTCTGCGTAGAAGGCGAAGCGCTCTCGGCGCGGCGCGGAACTTGTTCTGCTCGAGTCCATGTCCTGCTGTTCGGACAGGAGTGCGGCGCATAGCGCGGCTTCTGAGATGATTCCTCGCTATCGGAGTAGCGCTTTACAGGGCTTCCACTCTGGCCCGAGTCCTTGAAGGATTATGTTGACGAAAATCTCTTCCGAGATTGTACTCCCATGCTTCGTGATCTGGTCACGGATGTTGCGACAGCGGTTAATATACGGATTTGCCTTCTCCCCGTGCCCCATCTTTATCTCCAGAAGTTGCTGCAGAAGCCGGCTGGCGGTGACCGAGTCTTTCAGCTGGTAGACTTCAACGAGGTGCTTCCAAGCTTCCAAGGCTGGAGCGTCGCTCTCTTTGTAGGAGCAAATGATGAGTTGTTCCGCAGGCGTCATGTTGCGTAGCAGCACACTGTAGGCCATGAGGGACTCACTGTAATACTGAGCCCTGGCGACTTCAGTGTTTTCCACCGGTTTAGGATAGGAGTCGTCGAAGTAATGGTAGATCTGCGCCGTTTGTAGGAGGAGCTCAAGCTCGAAACTCCATGTGTAGAAGTCCTTGCCGTCTAATGCGGCAGTAGTTTTGATTTTTGAAACGCTAAGAAAGCGTGCTTGCGCAGAGTTGATAGCTTCATCACTTGGACGGGGGGCAGTTGTTGCTGATTTGTCTGTGTTGAGGGAGAAGGTGTGCGCGGCGGTATCACGGCTTTTCTCGGCCGGTTGTCCAGGTTGTGCTGGTTGGGAAGAGGCTCCCGCATCGCCTTTGCGCAAGTCTTGGATTTCTTTCTCCATAGTTGAAAGTCGAGCGAAAAGTTGCTCGAGAGCGGCAGTGGCGATCGTAGTTGTCGCCTCATTTGTTGCAGTCGGATTGGATTGTTCTTCAACCGTCATATTCGTTTGGCCTCCGGATCCTCCGGCCATCTTGGTCTTGGAGCGTGTGCCGCTCGCCAGATCTTGATTCGGCGAATTTTACGGAAGTAAAGTTGCGAAGAATCCCGGAGTAGCTCTCATACCATGTTACAATCCCAAGTGGGACTTAGCGAAGGATCGCTCAGGGTTGATTGCAGAGTACTGTTGCAGCGGAAGATTTGAATCTCATGTTAGAGTGAATGTAAATGACTGAGTTGATAATAGCATGCATACATCGAGTTTATATAAGAATACAGGGGAATACGAAAGGACCTAGACTATCCATGTACTCAAAGGGGTACATTCCCTTATTTACAGTAAATTCAAACCGTGCGGCGCGGGAACCCGTTTTGAACCTGTTTCCGCTCTTTTCACTTCAAATGATTCTGCCTGCATCGGTCCTGGTCAGACGGTTGCTGCGTCGCTTCGACTCTTCTGACTCCTCGACTTCGTACTCGGTAGAGTCGGCTCCTGCAGCATACATGGATGCCTTACTCATAAAACTTCCTATCGTAACATACCTTAAATCTGCTCACCGGAATACCGGCACATTGGGAGGAGATGAGGCACTCGGCAATGCTACACAACGTGACGGACAGCTTCACCTTGCAGCGGATGATGATTCGGGAGCAGAGATATCAAGACCTCATTACCAAGGCAAATCGTAACCGGCGTCCACCTCGCATGGCTGGACAAGCTCGTGGAGACCACTCACCTTCTCCACATGCTACGGGAAGCATCGAAAAATGAGGAGATGAATTTGGCATGGTCACCAAAAGGACGACATGGGTCAGTTGGGGAGAAAATGCAAGGCAAGAATGGATGTGCGGGTCGCTCAACTCTCGTGTGTTGGTACTGTAAGGAGTCAGGCCACCCCTTCTACAAGTGCACCAAAGCACCTTCAGGTTGGTCACCACCAGGTTGGGAACCGCCTACCCGAGGGAGAACAAACCAACGCAGCAACTACAATCGTTCGACCTCTCCACGAAGGAGTGGCAATCCCAAGCGTGACCACAGTGCGTCACAACAGCAGGGGGCAGCGGAAGGAGACAACATACGCACAATTACCTGCATTGCGACGGTGCGTTCATCACAAGCAACCTTACCCTCGGCTGGAGGGTCATTCTGACTGCTAGAGAGCGGCTGCAGCCAGCACATGACTTCGGACAAGTGCTGGTTTGAAGAGCTAAAGGAGCTGGTCGAACCTGTGAATGTGGAACTTGCTGATGGAAGCCAACTGCGCAGCACAATGATGGGAACGATCAGGGCAACGGCACCTGATGGATAACAGTTCGCTTCACTGAAGTTCTCTACGTACCCGGCCTGAAATCCAACCTCCTCTCCTTCTGCCATCTGTACAAGAAAGGTGCACAGATTCGTACGCGTGCTGACGGGCACACAGAGATCACCATGGCGGATGGAGATGAGCATGTGTGCATTGGACTTGGGATCATCATGCATGGGGTGCTCATGGTGGAGTATGAGCCTGCACTTACATCCGCCCATGGTCCTGGTCATTCTCGTGATGATGCATCATTGAAAGAGCATGGTGGTGAAGGTGATGCACTTTTCTGCACACCCGGAGTGCACATGGATACGCACGAGGACACAGCTTTCTGCACACCGGGAGTGCACTTGGGCTCACATGGAAACTCAGATTTCCGCGCACCTGAAATGCACTTGAGTGGCCATTCTGCACACGCATCTGTCACCTACCGCATGGCACACAAACATTTGGGGCATCCGTCATACGCATCCATGGATGCCACATTTTGGAATGGTGACATTGAAGGGCTTACCATTTCTGACAAAACCAACCCTCTGAAGCCTCCGTGTGACTCTTGCTTGCGAGGGAAAATGACCAAAGCCCCTTTTCCTACAGGAAATGAGAAGCGGTAAAGTCGCCCTTTGGAGCTCGTGCATAGCGACATCATGGACCTAGGTGACGCCCACCCCTCACTTCGCTACGTCCTGAAGCTCAAGGATGACTTTACCAACTACTTGTGGGTGGCGCCGCTAGTTCGTCGATCTGACATGCAAGCTGTCTTCACGGCATGGCACCGCGAAATGAAGACTAAGCTGCCCACAAAGCCGCTGGCTACCCCGCGCACGGACAACGGGGGGGATTACACAGCAAACGCCTTTACATAATATTTGAGTTCCCATGGCGTCATCCACGAAACGTCATTACCGCACACCCCGCAGCAGAATGGAGTCGCGGAACGGGTTAACCGCACACTCATGGACAGAGTGCGGGCCATGACTACCGGGGCCAGCCTCTCCTCCACCTTCTGGCCGTACGCGCTTGAGTACGCTACATGGTTACACAACCGCATCAGCTGCAGCAGCAACCCATCCGCGCACTCACCGTACTACATGATGACGGGGAAACCTGCGGACGTGTCCATGGCACGAACCTTTGGCTGCCTCTGCTATTATCTTCCCCCACAAGGCAGCTTTGGCAAGTTTGAGCAGAGAGGCCGGGCTGGCATGTTTCTCGGCATCTCCAACGTTCGAAAAGCGTGGATCGTGCGGGACATGGCAAGTGACGTGGACACGGACACTCGATCTGCTCGTTTTTTTTATGACCTCATGTTGCCAGACGCGGAGTCTCTACTCGAACGTCAGCGCTATGCCGATGAAGTCTCACCCCACGTTGTTGGGTGGACTTCAGGGGGAGACGGGATTGAGCCTGAGTTCGATCCTTTTCCGTCCTCCCCATCCTCTTCCGCGTCATCAACCGATATGCCAACTGGACACCAAGTATGCAGTACCCCTACTGGAGGAATGGACAAGGACTCACCTGCAGCCGATGCAGCTGATTCAAGTGGAGCTGCAACGAATGACTTACCTGCAGCAGGTGTTTCCATTTCAGAGAACGGGGAAGACCATGGCATGGAGAACGAGACATGTCACCTTTATGACTTTGCCTACCCACCTGAAGGAATTCCACTGGCCGGACAAGGTGCACCACGATGACGAGTTCACTTTGATCCGACTGTAACTGTGCTCGGAGAAGAAGGACAATCTGCGCACCACATGACAGGGCTGGATGTGCTACTTGGAAAGCGTCAAGCAGGACAAGCCATGTGGACTGAGGAACACATGCTACAAGGAGTCAACAACCTTCCCAGCTTACAGCATCACGTGTTGGGATGTGCAGCTGCGACTGTGCCCATGGTCGACCTGACCTACAAAGAGCCAAAGTCACTCAAAGAACTGACCACGGATCCATACGCACCTTTTTGGCAAGCGGCAGTCAATGCGGAGCTCACCGAATTTGACGAGCTGGGAGCGTATGAAGTGGCGGACAGGGCGGCGTACCAAAGGGAGTCCCGGTGTTGACGGAGGGAATTATCTTTAGGGTTAAACGAGATGACAAAGGCCAGCCAAGCAGGTTCAAGGGACGCTGGGTGGTGAAAGGCTGTGGACAGACGTGGGGAACATATGATGAGACATACGCCCCGGTCAGCCAAGGACCTACTTCACGCATGTTTGTTGCAGGCGCATCAACAACGAAGCGGAAAGTTGTGCAGCTGGACATCTCCAACGCATTTCTCTATGCACCAATCGACAGAGATATGTACGTGCGACCACCTGAACCTCAACGTGATGGAGACAAGGTTTGGAAGCTCAGGCGCAGCGTCTATGGGCTGAAACAAGCACCTCGATTGTGGCATCAACACTTACGAGGAGTGCTGCTGGAGCTGGAAATGATGCAGTCGGAGTCTGATCCATCACTGTTCATCTGGAAGAGGGCTGGAAAAGATACGGTGTGGCTGCTCACTTACGTGGATGACATCCTCATTCAGTCTGATGATGAGGAAGGCATCCAAGCAGCCATTCAACACTTGAAGAACAACTTCACCTTGACCATCAACTCGACCATGACCCAATTTCTGGGTTTGAATGTTGCTGCTTCCCGCGACACCATATCGTTGGGACTCACCAAGTACATCAAACAAGCGTTGGCAAACTTTGGGATGGAGGGGGGCCGCTCTGGAGTACGAATGCTGATTTCCAAGGAACCTGGACCTCAGGGGGAGTCACCTGAAGAGGTGGACAATCAGCGGGTGATGCAGTAGGTTGGGGCGTTGCTATATGTCTCCACAACAGGAAGGCCATACATCACCTTTGCTACGCATGTGCTGGCCAGACAGGCCAGCAAGCCAACAGCAACAACTGTGCTCATAATTCGACGTGTGTTCAAGTATCTTTAGAACACGGCTGAGATTGGATTGGTTTATGGAGAGGGCGACTTGGTGCTTCGTGGATACACCGACTCTGACTATGCAAATGAGGTTGGATGTCACTCGGTGGGAGGCTATGTGTTTACGTTGGGGGGAGCTGCTGTCAAGTGGAGGACGAAACGCCAAACGGTCATCGCTACCTCCACAACAGAAGCTGAGTACATCGCCATGTTTGAAGGAGCAAGGGAAGCAGCTCACCTGCGGCGACTGTGTGCCGACCTTGGCTTTCCACAGAGAGAACCCACAGTTCTTTATGTGGATAACCAGAGTGTGATTGCCCTTGGAAAAGGGGAACAAATGAGTCAGCGCACCAAGCACATGGAGGTGCGTTACCACTGGACCCGTAAAGCAGTGCGTGATGGCATGGTATGGTTGGAGTACTGTCCAACAGCCAAGCAAGCAGCCGATTACCTTACCAAACCGGTCGCCTCCAAGCAGCATCTCACCTGCAGTGTTCTGAGTGGGCTTCAACCAATTCTCCCTGGTGTACCATCTGGAGATATTCGCCATGTCAAGAATGCTGGTATTGTGCTCACTTGTGCGGCCTCTTCGAGCGGTGCTGCACCACATGGCGTCACCTAACTCCACACTCACTCACGTGCTTGTAGCTGTGTACGCGGTTACGTGCATGACTACAAGCACATGGGTGGGGGGGGGGGGGGGTTGGGTGTCGAGTGTATCTGGTGGCACTGAACTGGGACATGGAGTCACGAAGCATACGGGGAAGACCTACTCACCATACGGAGAACATACATGGGAGCACAGATTCCTGCATACCTGGTATACTTGGTGTGCACATATCGGCAACCTTGGCGTTACTGCATACCAGAGGTGCACAAAACTTCTCACGTGGACTGCACTGCAGCCCTGGAGTACACATTTCTGCACACTTGGAGCGCACCTCTCATCCCGCTTTGCGTCGAAATGTGAAACCTTGAGCTGATGAAGTTCCGCAACTCCAGCGGCTCCCATATATCTGGAGTGTAGGGGGAGCCTCGCATGACAACATGGGTGAAGTTCGAGCAGACTTGGCATCATCTGCTGGTGTGCATTCAAGACTTGCACAACCTGATACCATCGCATCACGAGGCAGGGGGAGAAGGGCAAGGTTACGGAGAAAGGCAGGGCAGGAAGGCAGGGGGAGAAAAGACCCACGAAGATGCAGCAGCAGACGCGTACGAGGTCGTCAACCGTTGACGAACGCCAGATCGTCGCTTCTACCGTGGAAAGTATGCGCCTGCCAATGCAGTTCTGTGCCAGCCGCACGTCATACGTTATCCGCTTCCGATTCGCGTCATCCGCAGCTGCAGTCATCGCAGACACGCATCCTCTGCGGTTTTGCGTCGTTGCACAGGAGGCATGCGAAAAAGACAGCAGCACTGACAATCGCGTGTCGTAAAGTCTACAGTTTCGGAATTTCGGCGTGCGCTAAAGGCATTCTGCCATAACGATTCGGGCATTCCGCCATTGCTTTCAGAAGATTTCGTCATGGAGCTGCTACGATTCCCTCAGCAACAACCATAACTCATTGAATCTGGATATGGAAAGTCGAGATTGGAAGGGAGGATTGGAAAACGGAATGGCTGGAGTTTGGAAGCCACAAGAGCTTGGAAAGGGAAAAGTGCTACAGTGACCAGTAGCTTGGCCAGCACCAAACCCTAGTTTGGTCTGGGTTGGGAGTGTATGCTCTAGCCTGTAGTGGGGTGCTCTATAGCGAGTACAACCCTTCTAGGGTTTGCTATTTGTATCCTCATTCCTGCTAGTGTACACCCTCTTTGCCTAAACTGTTTCTTGCCTAGCTAGGGCTTTCCTAGCTTTGGCCCCTTCTTCTACTTCGTATCTTCACATGGTATCAGAGCGATATGCTCCTGGCTTGTGGGCCCCACCTCACTGCTTCCGCTGCTACTGCTACTCCCTGTCCGCCGCGCGCCCCGTGGTGCGCGGCGTCGAAATTAGGGTTTTCAGCCCGCCGTGCGCCCCGAGGCGCACGGCGGTTTTCTGCCCGCTGTGCGCCCCGAGGCGCGCGGCGGTTTTCTGCCCGCCATGCGCCCCGAGGCGCGCGACGGTTTTCTGCCCCGTCACTCGGCGCGTCGCCCCCAGGAGGCGCTGCGACGGGCGACGGGGACCCGCGCGTCGCCCCCCGTCGCCCGTCGTGGCCTGCGCGCGGCCCGTACAGGCTGCGCGCGGCCCGTACGGGCTGCGCCAGGCCCGGACGCGGCCCGTACGGGCTGCGCCAGGCCCGCGCGCGGCTCGGGCCGCCTGCGCGCGGTTCGGGCGGCTGTGCCAGGCCCGTGGGCGGCCCGTTCTTCGCTGCCCCTGCACTGCCCGCTGTCCCCCGTACCTCTGATGGCGCCCCACCCCTGCTACTGCTTGTGCGCCTGCATTAGGGTTTGGGGGTGGAGCGTGTGGGGGTATGGGGGTGCAGTTTCTCAGCGGCGTCCCCTGCTCCTCCTCCTCCTCCTCCGTCTCCCGGTACTGCAGCTGCCGCTCAGGGGGGTGGGTGTGTGGGAGCCGAAGGAGTGGTGCTAGGGGGGTGACGTGGGAGTGGAGCTAGGGGTGAAGCAGGGGGTGCGTGTCAGGGGGGGGGTGGGACTGTTTGGGGAAGTTGAACGGAGGTTGCCGTTGTGTCGCCAGCAGCACCTGTAGTCCGGGGAGTTGCTCCGGTAGCCCAGTCGCAGCCACCTGTGCCAGTCGCCCGTGGGTCCGTTGCTCGTCTGCCGCTACTTTTAGCCGCGGGGCCAGTTACTCTAGTAGTCCGGAGCGTTGTTCCGGTAGCCGCTGTGCCAGTGTGCCTCCTGTTGCCCGTGTGTCTGCAGCTTCAGTCGTCGCCTCCTATCTCCTCTCCTCTTACAGTCTCGCCTCCTCCTCCTCACTTGCCCTCTGCGATAGCCTCTAGCTTTGCTTACACTTGTGAACTTTAAACTGTTGCTTCTTGAACTTGTGCTCAGAATGTGTGGTGACATTGTGATCCACCCTGAGCTTGTTCTGCTTTGCTTGCTCTGCTGATTACACCCCCCTTTGGCTATGGGGATGTGTCAGAATGTTATGCTCTAGCCTGTAGTGGGGTGCTCTATAGCGAGTACAACCCTTCTAGGGTTTGTTATTTGTATCCTCATTCCTGCTAGTGAACACCCTCTTTGCCTAAACTGTTTCTTGCCTAGCTAGGGCTTTCCTAGCTTTGGCCCCTTCTTCTACTGCTTATCTTCACAGGGAGCATCCCTACCTCTGCGGTGGTACACCACCTCATCCACCCCATCCTCCAAGAAAAACGAATTCACTAAAACTTACAGCAAGGGGGAGTGTTGGAAATCTGAGAACAGTATAACGAATACTGTATACCTGTGTGCTGTTTGGTTTTAGTGTAGTCCCCTTTATAAGCCTCCAGGTCCTACAATAATTGTCACAATTATTGTAGCGCCAGAATTATTGGAGCCTAGCATTATTTGTCAGAGGTCCACTGGCGATCCCCGATTGATCCTAGAGAAGGGTTACAGGCATGTTGGCCTGGGGGGTTATGGGCGCACTGGTCTGCTACTTAAAACCGAGATGCAAAATAGTGAACCCAAACCCAACTTGAAAGGGCGCAGGAACGAGTTTGCCGGGCAAAACAAAGTTTAGACGGACTGAGAAGTTTGTACCGTTTCAAACGATGCGGACGTGCAAATCGAACACCTTTGATTGGTTCCCGCCAAAATTGAGACATTTTCCTGATGTGTGGCGTCGCACTTCTCATTGCTAAGCTCGCACGACAATTGCACAGGCGATCGTTTCAGTCTGTCCAAGCGATTTGGGCCCAACTGATGTTTCAAGTTGGGATGGGGTGAACTACTACCAATTTTGCGTCGGAAGTTCTAAGTAGCTAGGCTAGGCATAGGCTATGTCTCAACTTAGGCCCTCGTTTTCTACACATGTATTCATCAGAATGTCCGTCGTGTTGTATCCGAAAGCTATGAGTGTAAGCTTTTCAGTCTGTCCCTTTGCGCCCGCGTTTTTCCGTCCCGTCGCCCACGTGATCTCCTCTCGCCTCCCTTACCCACGCGATTGTCGCCGCCCTTCCGTGGCTCGTCCCGCTGCCTTCTCATCGCCCATCCGATC